GGTCGTTGAGATTTGCGATAGGTAACGAAATAACAATTATTAATTAATGAATATATATTATTATACTGTTCCACGCAATGCGCTTCGTCTACGTTGCTCTGAACTCGTCAAAACTGGTTTATTCGAAAGGAGGCAGATGAATGTTAAGGTATCATAATATTAGGCGTTAAAGCTGTTCAGAGCGCAGCGCATACCAGGCAGTATACAAACATATTATTCTATTCACTCGAAGAATGTAGCACAAAGGGAATATCCTGAGGTAGGACGGACGATGGTGATAATATGCGCAATCCCCTCCGGGCCCATCGAACTGTTTTGGCTTTACTGATATAACGATGGCGTCGTTAGTGTTACAAATCAAAAAAAAGAAAAGAAAATCCATTGAGTAATCGGCAAAAAAACCATCACTATTGCGAGATCACGATTATTAACGTGTCACTCTTAATATATTGAAATCAATCAGCCGCACAGTTCCTACTTTTAATGTTCGAAGTAGTGATAATGTCAAATTAACAAGTCGTAAGATTATAAATGCAAAATGAAACGTGACCGGAAGAATAAAAAAAAAACTCTTTAAAGTTGCAATACCTTATTAGTTATTACTTATTATTATTATTATTTTTTTTTTTTATTGGTTAAGCATCAACTACCTGGGTTATTAACTTTAACAAAAGTATTACATTTTTACATTATCATATGTTATTGTACAATTCAATTTTTTTTAGATATAAAATTATCAATTATGTTTTGATAGTTAGAAAATGGACCAATTGCTTTGCACAGGTTATCAAGGATGTTGAAGTTAGGGCAGTGGACAATAATGTGTTTGATGGAGTAGTTTTCATTGCATGTTGAGCATAGGGGTGGATCTCTTTGCCATAATTATGTGTAAATTTTGTGTGGTCTATTCTAAGTTGATTAATTATCTCATTTTTTCAGTGTTACTTATTATTAAATTGCTAAAAATTGATATTTTATTAATGAACTGAGAAAGTATCAAAAAAAAAAAATCACTTATAATGACTGGTTAATTTAATAACCGTATACTCTAATAATAGTTTAATTTACAATATAATACCACGATCGGCAGTGTCAATTTAATTTCGTTGATGAGTTCATCGGAATTATTCAATACAATATGAATATTGTAACATTCAATAAACGTATGCATCGGCGTATCTGTAAAAGCACGTGTTGCACTACAATGCGTGATAATCTTTACGCAGTAAATCTAGTCATAACGACTATCCGATTTCAGTAATAATAGATTAACAGATAATAAAAAAATAATGAAAAAATAAAAATATGAAAAATATTTGTGGGTAACATAATTTTGTAAAAGAATAAATAATTATGGTTTTCGAAGATTTATTTAGTCGTGACTGTGACTGAAAATTGGTTCCTGAAAAATGCAAATTGCTCAACAAATGCAATGGTGTCCCTAAATAGCCTATCCACAACGCCGTTTTGCTATAATTTATTTATTTATTATATTRATGAAGTCTATGAAAAATTAAAAAAAAAACATACAGTCAATTCCACGACATACAATCACTTTTCGTGGGTGAAACCGATGCGATCGTTGGCGCCTCGAAAACCTCGTGATCACACCAACACCGGGTAATTGGTGGGAGATGGTGAGCACTGATGAAAATCGGTCGGTGGAGGTGGATTGATGGTATTCTCTTGTAGTAGAGACTCAAGACCATTCATCTCATGAAATACCCATGGACGTAAACTCCTCGAGTGCATAGGGCTTAAGCCCAAAAGGTTTCAACAAAAACATGTTTTGGGAGATTTGACGCCCAATTTTATCTGTATGATACAATTCAAAACCACCATCACAAAATAAACGTAAATTAATTTTTTGAACCACCGTAAAATATTAAAAAAATTTATAGTCATAATTTATACAGTTAATATTATAAATATAGGTATTAAATTATATAATTTAATGTAATTAAGATACCGTAAATAATTAAAATATTTTAGAGAGGGCTAAGCCCCTTTGAAATACGCACACTGAGATATACAGGATGTAACGGAAAGACCTGACAAAAAAACAAAAACAAATATTATGCTAATTATTAAACGTATGACAAAAATTGTTAATATAATATGATCAGTAGGGAATGGACTTTAATGTCTTAAAAAAAAAATATCCTAAAAAAAATACAACCAAATTCCTTAAAAAAATACTTTAATATCAAAAAAAATCACTAAAAATTTCTCATAAATCACACTTTAAAAAAAATTTATTAGTTTATTACGTTTCAAATTAATTTAACCAAAGAAATATTGAATTTTAAAAAAATTCTAAAAATTTAACTACTTGACTTAGATAAATCATTTCACCATCAAAATTGTTCCTATAATCAGATTCACAAATAAGCTATTTTAAATTTATCCAAAAAACTGTTTATTAAATTTATTTTCAGTATTAAAATATAAACATAAGAAAAATTTACTATACATGTAGCGCTAGGATCACTTAATGAGAAATAAAAAAAAATATAAATTTAAACAAAGTTCGTTCCAAAAATCAGTTTTATCTGTTGCTCCACATTGTATGCACCTACGGATTAGGATATAACGGACTGGAAACGTCATGGTCGGAGATCAAAAGATATTCCCGACACTATGGGCAGCAAACGTTTTCAGCGCTATCGGTGGGTTTCTTTGGCGTCACATTTTGAATCTATTGGTCTGTGTTTTATACAGATAACAGATATGACGTGGTAAGCTCTCGGGGCCCACTGCGACCCCCACACTGTTGTCAGTTGTACAAAAATAAAATAATAAATAATTATTAAAATAAAACATAAAGATGAAGTTAACTAAAAAAAAATTATTAAAATAAAATAATTAATAATATGTCTGTTGAAAAAATCGACGCCATTGACAAGCTGCTGGTTTCCAGTTCATTGAATCAGGGGAGTATGAAACTCGCCTGAACCCAGTGATATTTGATAAAAATGGGAACATGACTTTGTGGAAAATTTTTTTTTTTAATTTTGTGTTTTTTATGTAATGTTTTAAAGAAGCCAAGGCAATTTTCATATGTCACTAACATACATCATAACCATACATAATTTATATCAATTGATTTAATTCTGGATTTAATTAACCATTCATAAATAATGTCGAAATCATTAATTGTGTAAAAAAAAATATTTTGCAACAAGGTAGTCACTAGTCGGTGGTATCATCAACGCCAAACCTCCATCAAGAGGAACGTTTAAAAATCAGTCTCAGACACAGATAATGATAATATCTATTTTATTATCTGTACATCTAGTTTACCTATGATCTGCAGTGTTAGATTAATTAGTTTTAAATACAGCAAACTGAGCAAACCAAATTTTTTTTAATAAATATGGTAATATGGCATTGTATTCAAAATTTAGACACTACATAACTATTTCCCAAAAACAAGTTTTAAGCTATCTTTATAACTAAGCATTAATATTGATTTCTCTTTCCAGATGGATTTTCCTTATGATATTTGAAATAAAAACTTCTCAAAAAAATACTCATTAGAGAGACTTAACAAATATTATCATTGAAAAATGTTTGAACTAAAGTGTTAATTGTGCTTGAGCGTTTTACAAGAGGCAAAAATGTGTAGATAATGGTAAAACTTACAGAGGGTAAATCTACTTCAAGAATAAATGAAATAAGAAAAAATCAAAAAACTGACATAACTTTTACAGTAATAAATGGAATATCGTTAGTGAAAACATACTGTTTATTCAATAAAAAAATGTTTAAATGACATATTATGTTGTCCACTGATTTTTTCGAGTATAAAATGTGTAAACATTAGTATCAAAGCTCATTCCAAAATTATCAAATTAAATCAATAATATTGTGCAAACATATTCATATGATGGCTATGGATATAACCTTTAAAAATGCATCAACATTGTAGAATTAACAACTGGAACAGAACACCAACATCAAACTTGGGCAAAGAAATAAGACACACGAGAAGTGTACAAAGAAGTGAGGGTGCACAAAACACTTCATGTCAGATTTAAGGATAAAGCAATATGTTTAAGTAACATTGTTCAAGGTGTTAACAAATCTGAGTGGTCTTTACGCCGCATTACAAAAATTATAAGCCTTAACTGCGCTTATTAATGCTGCACCAAATACAAATAAAGTTACTCCATACAAAACAGACAAAGGGAAAACTAATAAAAAATTATTTTTCTCAACCAAAAAGGTCAAAGGCGACAAATACTATGACACAAACAATGTCAAATGAAATTAGTGATTTAAATGATGTTGTTAGATAAAAAAATGTGTGGTTTAAGAATAACATGATATTGAATGTTCATATTTTTAAAAAGTCCTCAAGCATATTCATTATATTATAATGATTACATAAAATTCAAACACCGCACGTCGTCATGCATTATATTCACCACCGTCCAGTTCATCATACGCCAGTATAACAGCAGCCCAACCAATACTACACAGGTTCAACGTCAAACATTTTGAACAAACTCGAAACATTATTAAATCCATTAATCCCCATAGCAACCGTAATTTTAAGCAAACTCACAATAATATCCTCAAAACAGTAATTATTTCACACATTAAATCTCTAATCCATAAACTTCTTTGGAATTATCTACAATCCCCATACTATATTCTATTTGTATAAAAAACCGAAAATCATTAACTAACCATAATTAAATTGAAATCTGAAACTTGTAATAGGATGCACAATATGCTGAAACATCTTAGTTGTAATAAATAAAAAGTAAAAATAAATAATGATTACATACTTTATTGTATAAAAAAAATGGCTAATGAACTGTCTTGCAAAAATTACTTTTTAAATTATATTTAACTTAAGATACAAATACAAACACATCCATTCAGAAAATTTGTAAGAACAAATGTAAATATTTAACATTTTTGTTGAATTTAAATTAATTAATTGTACTATTGTATATAAAAAAATTAATTTTGAAATTATTAATCAACTATTTAAAATTGTAGTCAAATTTAAGTAAGTATCATTTAAATTTAGAAATCATAATATCTTTTATATGAAATTTAGGTTTCTTTAACATTCATTCCAACAGTTTCTTCAATTAATATTTGTTTGACACACTTGAGAAGCAGGGTTTCAAGGAGTTTCCAGGTGATCGGTCTTGTTTTGCGTACAACAGCTGAGAATCCATCAAACTTATTTTTATCCCACATGCATTTGTGGTCTGGCTCAGATAAGAGACAATCCATGCGGCCATCTCCTGATCCCGTCGAGCACGTTCCCAGATCCCACGGACAACCATTCAACCACGCGTACACTAGGCACTCGCCTTGTTGGTTAAACAACTTGTTGTCATGAAGGTGATTCAAATTCTTACATATTGGGAACAGGCAAAATTCAATATCCTTAAAGGCATCCACACAGTCTGACTCGTCTATAGAAAATCTTTCTAGATGAGCACATCTTAAGGATAGGGTTATTTGACCTGCGGCGTACCCACATGTAGAATCGGACCATGGAAACCCTTGCTCACGTAAATACTTTAAGAAGTTTAAGTTACCAACGAATGCCGCCTCTTCTACAGGGTCTCCCGAGATCCTATAACACCCACTCTCAACTATATATTTGAGGCATTCAAAGTTACCGCTTTTGACAGCCGCAGTGCATGTTGAGATATCCCATTCGCATCCGTTTTCTCTCATAAATTTTAAACATTCCAGGTAACCTTTCCGGGCCGCGTAGGTACATGCATTTACAGACCACGGGCATCCGTTTTCATGAAGATATTTGATAACGACTAGTTTGCCCATAGCTGCTGCCGCTTGGATAGGTTCTGGTTTATCTATAGCACATCCGTTTTCAACTGCATATTTAAGGCAATCTATGTTGTTGCTCAGAATGGCCGCGACGCATGTCAACACATTCCATGGAAGCTTGTGTTGATGGAAGAACTCTAGACATGCCAGTTTTCCATAATACGCGGCTATGGAACACAACTCTGGGCACCGTGAAAAGCTGGGTTTTATAGCGTAAATCTTGTGATCTCTAAAATCATACATTTCACGAAAACTGGATTCCAAGCTCATTTTTAACGGGCGGCCCAACTCATGAACCATCTTCAGGCATTCGAGGTGCCCGTACTTGATGGCCGAACGGAAAAAATTTAAGTCGTCGAAATTGATCTTCACTTTGTCATAAACGTCTTCTCTATTGCCCTGCGGGTCGAAAGTTCCAACGGCCGAATTAATTTCAATGATTTCTTTCACCATCAGGCAGCAAGGTTTCACGTCGATTTTTAAATATTTATATTTCGGATTGGTGCTGATCTTCAGGAACTGTTCCGGCGTGCACGAGAGGCACGCCAACTTAAACAAACTGGGAACGGTAAATGATTGTTCCTCAACTACCTCCATCGTGGACACGGTAAGTTGTCGACGGCTGGAAAAAATGGCGGCCCGTGCGTACTGTTTAAGAACACACAGGACACGATGTTTATAATATATTACAAAGAAAGACGGCGAACAAACAACAACAGTTGCACACCGGCGTCGATGAGTACTTACCAATAACCGCTGCGAGCTGTTTACTTTACGATCGCGAGTTTTCAGACGACGGTGACTGACGGCGAAAACGATGACTGATGAGTAGTAAAAATTTAAAAACACAATTTAAAAATCGTTTATAAACGAAAGGAAACCTGTTGATCGTTCGGAGACGGCGGACAGAACTTCCAGAAAAACGTTGCGCGTCATACTGTGTCGACGCCGTGATGTCGGAATTAAGTATTAATACTAACCTCAAAAAATGTTGCTTATCAAACAGGGTAGCCACGTCATTACTTCTAGAATAACTGAATAACGATTTAGTCGCATATTTGAAATCGTGACGAAACCCGCGAACATTCAAAAAATTAAAACAATTCTCGTTTAGCGTACAGTAAACTATATATAGTTATGACGTCCGGATAAAACAATACATTTTCAAATTCAGCGGCTTGTAACTCATTAGTCATAACAAATTATGCTATTTTATACAGTATATTAATATAATATGATATTTAATAACTCTAGAAATGCTTCATTCATATACTACGTCCGAAAAACATGTACGCATTAGGTATCAAATATTATGATTTATGAATTACCTATATATAAATAATAGTTTACTGATTTCACCGTAGGAATTAAATAGGATTTTAGAATTTAGATCAACCGAGTTGATGAGTCTGAACTAATACCCGGTTAGAATATGGCCTGGTGATGATTATAAGAGACATTTGTTTAAGATACTCGTTTCAAGGAAGGAGATTCGGCATTCGGTATCCAGGCAATGAAGATAAAAGAAGGATTTGTGTTTTTACACAAGTATTTAGAAAATGAGATAAGTACCTACCACAATATTTTTTTAATCATCTTCACAGTTCAACAGCTGCTAGTAAACCAGTGTAATTGTAATATATTAGTTATTCAGTTGCATAACTTATAGATCAAACACATATTTTCAACATACAGTATATTATTCTAATTATATTTAAAAAATAATGGAAAATCGCAACAAAAGTGTGTTGAATGGACATATCATATAATATGTTGATATTGAACAAATTGCAATAGACAATATCACATATTTGATTAAAAAAATTATGTATACCAATTTGGTTAATTTAAGTTTTTATTTTCTAATACTAAAAATAAATTTGATTGATAAATATATTCACAAAATAAAATATTGTTTGACAAAATTATGTTTTTCTGTATATCATCATGTTACAGTTAAAATAGTGAATCATTATTAGAGTTGAGAATGAGTGAATTTACAGCTTAACACACCACAGTTTATTACTTAGTTAGTAAAAAATAATAAGTGTTTAGGTTTAGCCAACTTACTAATTATTCAACAAATACAAAGACAAAGCACATATTATATTTAATTATTAACACATACAAAAATTTACATTGTTTATATTATTATGATTTTATTTCATTACAAGTAAATATTACTATACATTTATAACGTTTAATACAAAAATAGTTAGGGCACTACTTAAATTCAATTTTTTTGGTTGAAAATAATTATCAGATTCAGAGTTGGATGAAGACAAGTAATAAATACAATTCTATACTTACCACAATGTACTTTTGAATTTTAATCAATATAAAAATAGTGAAAATTAAAAATCTATAATCCATTATGATGAGGCATGTATATGTTTTATGTTTGTAAGTACTTAGTATACATATTCTAATAACATTTTCTAATGTATTTCCAGTTACGAAAATTACAAAACGAAATATCACAATTTGCATTATTACAATAATCAGACATTTCTCGCGGCACACCGGTTGAGAACCACTGTAACTGGTCAATGAGTTCGAAGATCTAATTATTTTAAATCGCGGTTAGAACCATAACGGCAGCGCCATCTACAATCGTAGTTTAGAACTTTGGCGGATGAACTGCAATGCCATCAACGATTATTGTTTGGAAAGCGAACCTTTTATTTAATTTTAATCATACTAACAAACGTAGATCCAGACAAGGAAACTATATATGTTATGTATTGTAACAATTTTATACTTACAAATATTTAATTCATTACTATTCTTTATTAATTTAATAGCAAATCGTATTGTTTCTATTGGCAATATTTTAATGATCAGCAATTAACATTATTTATTAATCAGTATCACGAAGTTGCCGGTGCTCGTTTAAGTTTGGTATTATAACGGTTGGTGCAAATAATAAATTACAAAATTTCGGCAATTTGAACGTGTCAACGTCGCGTTAAATGCTCCTATGCTCGATTGTGTTGCTGAAAAAATTATAAGCACAATCGTGCTTTACCGTCCTGAGTTGAATTGTGGCAAACTCTGTTGTACGGTAAATAGTCAATAAACACATTTTACGCACGCTCAAACTTGACCGCGTTGTACACCGGGGAAGTGCTTTAGCACTCTAAAAAAATTGTTTAAACAGTCAGTTCCCATCGAGTCGTAGAAAAACACGGAACTCAAGCATTCCCTTGCTCAAAGTTAGCCTAGTGACGCATAGACTCAATCGTTAATGAAATAAAATTATGTAGACACTGTCTATTCTATGATCTGTCCTGTCGTAGCCTACACGACTACAGCTATGACGCTATGAGACACAATGATAATCGTTTGACGAGCAACCGTAAAAAACCGAATTCTTCATTTTTATATCCTACTATCGATATAAGGTAACGAGTATATGCGACGGTTTTGTTTTTTACTTCATTATGTGTAGTGATGCGAGAGCACAATGATTGCTCCATTACTCTTCAGGAACCGTCATCAATATTTTTTCATAAGACATTATCTTAAGACGAAATATTTGTAACAGTTATTTTATTTAATGTTCTAGTGGCAAAAATATGCTAAACTGGTCTAATGTTCATTGTATTCAAAGGTTCAGCGAGAAACTCAAAGCTATCATGTGTGCAGGATGTGGTGGTGCCTTTGAAATGGTTCCAAGTACACCAAAACAGTATTGATAAGATAATTATTAATGACTTTTCATATTGTTTACTCAAATGTTTACAAGGCAGGGCATTAACAAGTTCAAAATTCAAAATGAAGTTAGGTATACAATATAATGTATTGATTTTTTTGTTTTTACAGTAACTTTAACGCGTTACATTTTTTTCTCATGTTATGAAGTAATGTATGAATTAATTTTTGTTATGCTCACATTGAGTTAATTTTTTTCTTAATACAGCAAATTAAAATTATATTCTATTTTGTAAAACTAAATTTAAAAATATAAAATAATTTAACAATTGGAAATATCGAAGATTATTTATAAATAAAAAGTAATAATTTATGAGGATCTATCCCCAATATCTCGCCCTGTAAATATGTCACCGTAAATTAGTTATGTTCCATGTTTGATGGTACTTAGTATACATCAAGGCTGGGCAATTAAAAAGTTAAAGTCAAGTTGAAAAGTTAATTTAATTTAAATTTCTAGTTTTATCAGGATTTTTATTAACTTAACTATTAACTTACTAAATTTATTTTTTAATTAAAATAAAATTAACAAATTAGTATATATTATAAGAAATAAATTAAGTTAATTTTTTTGTTTTTAATGTTTTGCATTTCATTCCTTCAGTATAATTCGTTTTCATGTAAAATATTTACCATGAATTGTTTAAAGTTAAACATTTTATATTTTTAAAATATTTTGTGACTATTTATTTTTTTTTTTTTTTATTAGAAATAAGCCTCGGCTGCGGAGGCCATTGGCTGACATAGTTTACATTGTTAATTATAATTGTTGTATACACTATTTACATTATTTACAAAAACATTACACATATTACACATATTACAACATAATAGATTATAGATTATTAATTAGGTTGGTCTTGATTAAAAAGGACATCACGCGGCTAATGTTGTCTGGGTGGAGGGCTTCCGACATAATATTTGATACTTGACTATTTATTGAACATATAGTGATAGTGTAATACTTCTATCACAAACGCGTACACACAAAACATATTTATTTCCAAGGCTTAATTAAATAATATTAATTCATTATTTTTAGATATTAATTAATAATTATTATTTATTATTTATTACATAGATAACTACTGTTCATTTTTAAGAAATGAAAACCTCAATGAAATACAATATGCTATAAATTAGTTTTGAGTTTGTAAAAAATAAACTATGCTGGCATTGTAAAAAAAAATAACTTTCTTATTTATGTATAATATTAACTAAAATTAAGTTTAAAAAAATCATTAAATTGCCAAGCTTTGGTATACACACGCTAATAATATTTTGTAATGTATTCCCAGTTATAAAAATTGCAAAATGAAATATCACAATAAATATTCTCTTAAAACTGAGCATAGTCCTGATTTTAAATTATGGAATAGTGTTATTTTAGATTCAGCATCATAAGTTTGTATCTACTCTATAATTATATTTATTACTTAATTGTTAATAAATATAAATGTATCAAATTATAGTTTTTTTAAAAGATGTTGGGGAAGTTCAATAAAAAATATATCATATCAAGTGTAATCTAAACTCAATTCATTTTTTAACTGTAGCTATCATGCAACAATTTTTGTACTTTGAGTTTAATGCAATTATTGTTTTTTGAATATAGAATAAACATCTTTTTGAAATTGTTTTTTTACACTTCATAAAATAACAATATTCACTGCCCAAAATGTTATGATTTTTAAACTAAATGAATTCACCACACTGAAAAAAAAACTGAATTAGTATACAGATTAACAATCAATATCATACAGCGTGTAAGTTGATGAATTTGCAATATAGCATCATATTGCATCTGCAGACCTTTAAAATAAGTACCTTTTAGTCAATTAAATATATATATATATTTATTTCTTACTAATAATAATACATCGGTATAAAAGCAAAATATATATTTTAAATTTAAATTAAATATTTAAATAATTACTCATAAGATAATTAATGACTATTGTGTTATTGTAATGATTGTATTATCGTACATCAAATCAGGTAAGTATGTAAAAGTTATTAATTTGATGTATATTTTTGCAATATTATTGTTATGCAACTACTCATATTGAAATTTATAGCTATGCTCCTGGACTATATGAGTGATAAACTTTAACTTTCTCACAATAGAATCTGAAA